TTAAGATAAATATATATATATATATAATACAATAATTAATGGGCGTTATTTTAAACACATCGTGTATATTCTGTTTTTGTTTAATAAATGGATTCAAATTTTGTGCGCAGTAATTGCAAGCAAAGTGCTATATCTTGATTGATATTCTACGTACAATGTTACTTCTCAATTACTAAACGAACATAGTGATATATACGAATATATATCACTACACCAGTCTCTGAACAATCACAGTAAATGACTTCAGAAAAATATTAAAATAATAAGATTTTAAAATAATAAATTGCAAATTAATTGTGATATTTTTTGAAATCTAATTTCACACAGATTTAATTAAAATATCACTTTTCACTTGAAAATGTAATTATATTACGTAAAAAAGGAAAATGTTTACCTTCCTTTATAAATGTACTTATAACAGAAATTTACTATAAATAAAACAGAATACACGTATTAAAAGAAGTAACTTTTATATTAAGTATTTGTTATCAAAGAAATAAAAATCAATTTCTTTAGGATAGCATAATATTAAATTTTTATTTATTACTTATTTATTATTGTATTTTACTTGTTTTTAGTTATATTTTTTACGGGTCAAATATTGGTGCATTTTGTGTTCATTTGTACCAGTAAATAATACATTAGTCATTACCTAGTAAACTGAACGCAAAGCGGGTACACCAGTACATGATCATTCATATAATGATCATTCATTAAGTGTCAACAAATTGGAGGTTAGATATTCGTATTTTGATATTTTTCATGTATTCTGTAAATCTGCTATCAGTGATTATTCACTGATTCACAGCCGAGTATGCTGCTGATAATCAGTGAATGAAATGTGTTATCTCTAATCTTGCTAACCTTTATTATGTGATTTAACTAACTCTATTTTAGTGCATAAATTTAATAAATATTGAAAGATTTAAATTAACGTGCAAATATTAATATTCTAAGTTTATGGCACAAATTTTTTGTTTTTTTTAGTTGAACTTCACTGATTATTCAGTGCTAAGTATGCCACTGGGTAATCAGTCACTACCTATTGACTTAGAGAGTATCTAAGTAAATATTAGTCTTCTCACAATTCTCATTTTATATTAGTACTTTTGAAAAGTATTAACTATTATTGTTATAAAACTATTTTTATCACATATGAACGACGAATTAAAAAATTGCTTTAATATATAAATGAATAAGGACAAAATAATTGATTTATTTCCTTTTCTTTTTATACTTTTAAAATTTATTTGTATTTTCAAACAATCTTTCATTATGTCAAGTTCTGAGAGAAATAAAGGAAAAAGAAAGTACTGCAGATTTTCTTATTCAAAAGAAACGTTGCAAGATGCTATTAACAAAGTACGTGTTGATGGAATGAATATAAATAAAGTATCACAGCAGTATAAAATACTAAAAGGTACACTTTTTAATAAGATATATGAAAACGTACCTATTAAGAGAAAAACCTTGAGAGAAAAACTGGGATCTTCACCTGTTCTTTATTTCCTTATTCAAAAGAAGAAGAACGAATTAAAACTTGGATAATTAACAAAGCAAAATTGGGATTTTCAATGTATACAAGTAATGTGCAAGATGCAATCTTTTCTAGAAAAAAGTAATCTATTTGTAAATAATAGGCCTGGTAGAAAATGGATGAATTTATTTTTGAAAAGACATACTGAAATCAGTGTCAGAAATACTAAAATATTATCAAAAGCTAGGGCATCTGTTACAGAAAAAGATATACGCAAATGGTTTGATTTAAAACAATATTTAACTGAAAAAGATGCATATGATATTTTAGAAAATCTATCAAGAATATATAATATACACATAGATGAAACGAGAATGTCATCATGTCCTAAAATTGATAAAATTCTTGGAGAGAAGAGAGAAAAAATCAATATATATATTAGCATCAGGTCAAGGAAAGCAATGCATGTGTGTTATTATTATTATTATTATTATTACGTAAATAAAGATATATAAATATAATTATATAGAGAATCCAGTTATTCAATAGACATTTTTGTTGAATCCAAATGTATATTTACTGAAATCTACGTATTCTTTTAAAAGGAAAACTGGCCATTTACTAGTACGCATCGGTCATTAATTGAAACTTATCGGTCATTCACTAGTGTTTCTTGTGATTTTTTATTTTTTAGTTAAAACTATCATTTTTGTCTTATTTTTTAAAGATAACTTATGATATTTTTGAAGATTAAACAAACAGTTATTACCTTTAAGTGATTTATAATTCACTGTTTATATCATGAATTTTTTATTTATTCTTATTGACTAGTGCAGTGATCATATTATAATTGTTCAATAACTGCTAAAAAATGCATAAAATCCAGAATGTGTATATATATATGTGTGTGTGCGTGTGCGTGTGTGTAAAATTGGTTCAGTAAAAGAATTAATACCTGATCTGATATACTGGTATACTTGATCTCACAATGTGATATCTAATATATTTGCAATGATAATCTATACGTAGTTACGTACGCGTATTAAAGAAGAGATTTATACAAAAGCAATTGTAAATAACACAATATTATGTTTATGTGAAATATTTTTTTCTGTATTTAACTTTATAAGCTAAAAAATTAGTAAATGGCATGGGGTAAGATCCTTGTAATATATTAGATTTGTTTAAGCAAAAACAAAAGATATTGTGAAAGACACTTGCCATCGAATTTTACGTGCGTATATCGAGGTCGGCCGTAAGCCCAGTGAAAAAAATTCGCGGAGAAGGTTCTCATGGTAACGAAGGTAACGTCTGCAGTTTTGTTACTTTTGTTTAACCTTGCCCGGGGCCTTTCCAATCCTTTGTTAAGGCATTATTCTGATATATTATAAATTTCTTTTTACAGTTGCATATACCTATAATTTCTACTAATATAATATATTTAATTTGTTACTTAATTATTTAACTTTCATCGAGTTATTTATTTACTTGTGCTACTTTTTAAAAAGCTATATAAAATTGCAATTTAATTTTAATTCAATTTAATTTAATTTAATTTATTGCAAAGCTTTATGAAAAAGACATGTTAGCAGAGTAATAGACATAAAATATGATACAATAGACTATAATTAATGTAAATACAAGAGATAATAGTAGCTTGCAATTATGCTTGTATTTCAAATGTCACTTTTTTCACGCAATACTGATTAGTTCTTTCGTCGTACGCTGTTTAATAATTATTTAGTATTAAATATCTCTGTAAATATGTAAATTATATGTAATAAATATGATCTTTTTTTTCGGAATAATGTCATTTTAATTCATTACAAATTGGTAT